TGTGTGTATATATATATATATATATATATATATATATACACATATATAGATCTATAAAGCACTTATAAAGAAAACAATATTTTATCCATGCATAAGCACCAATCACTAAAAAAATTTAATAATAACGATAAGAAAAGACAACACGCAATTGAAGATCTAGTACTTACGATGGTAAAATGATAATCAGCTCCAATAATATCTTCAAATATTACGAAGTGCTCAAAGAATCCACATACAATAGCGCATGCGAGTATTAAGGAGAAATGCAAAGTTTTACTGAATCATTGAGTGAATATTACATACCTTAGAGAGTCCAATTTATAACCCAATAATTCCTAGTACAATAACGTAGTGAAATCAATAAGGCAAGATTGCATGAATACTAAGAAGTTTCAAATTTTCCCAAGCAAAACAGCTCGACTTTTTTCTCAAAATCAGGCAAGATTGCATGTGCCACTGTGATGAACTACAAGAGCTAAAGAAAGAAGAAACATTGAGGAAAAAATTGCTACAAGTATGTTGTAGCCCATGAAAAAGAGACTTGAAGTGAGGGTGAAGGAAAAGAAAAGTCGACCACGAAAATTAACAAGCAAAAAAATCAATAACGAGAACCAACAAGAGGTTGCAACAAGCAGAAGGAATAGCAGAAATCAACAATAAGAGGAAATAAGTAGAAGTTAATGAAACAACATAATAACAAGAGTGAACAAAATGTTGCAAAAATAAAAAGAATAAACTAAAGCCTAAGAAAATAGATGTTGCACAAAATTATTATCAAACCTAGCAACTGTTGATTTCAATCTGCGCCAAAAACATGCTGAACTTAGGATTTATTAGCCGAGTCAAAATCATGCAACAATGTTCCGATCCCAAAAAGATGATCAAAATGATGGAGATCACCTCCCATGCTCATAGAAACCATCTTCAGATCACCTGATTTGCACTTCCAATTAGTATATATTTCATATGTACATCATTCTATGCGGCTATATATATAAATTTATAGTTAAAAACACTCAAAAAAAATTTTAAATACTCCAAGAAATTAAAAAATTATATATATTAACGCAAACTATCGGCAACCAATAACGATCATTGGCACCATCGCACTACTAACAGCCGTTGTCGTTCGCCAATAACATCACCGCTACTAGCGAAAACTACCAACCATCGTAGCCATCATCTTATAAATAAACAAAAACATCAAATTTTTAAGATATCAAACATATTTAATTTCATATCAAAATGTAAATAAAACTACATAAAAAAATAAAGAGATCACAAATGTCACTTAAATTTTGAAATGATTTCTTGCTTAACTTTGATTTTAGTCATAATTTATTTCTATCTCATGTACAAATATAAGTTCAGGTTCATAAATAGGTTCTATAGTAGGTATAGATTTAGAGTCAATACTAAATAGCATTAGGGGTAGGTTCACAGTGTAATTGCAAATCATATTTTTTAACTAAAAAAACCTCAAAAATATATTCACAAGCAATGTCTTTCCCAATAATATCATAATTAAATAACAAAGATACTTGTGAGGTAGGCATGAAAAACATGAGCAAAAAAGGTAAGGATTTCCATTTAGAGATTTTAATTATGAGTTTGGTAATTATCAAATCATTCATAACATGCCTCCATTAATAAGAATTCTAGGATGTTTTCAAAGTTTTCCAAAAACAACTCTCACCTTTCCCTAAACAGTGTAAAATAACATGTGATACATTGTGAATCCAAATGAGCTAAGGAAAGAGCTAGAAATAAAAAAACAATTGCCAATATGGTATAGTCTATGGAAACATAAACATAAAGTAGGGCTTAACGAACAATATAAGCAATGGGAAGTAGTAGGAAGTAACAATCCATATCAGGAAATAGTAGCAGCAATAGCATGATAGGGCAAGAAATAGAAAGAATAGCAAAACTTAACAATGATAAGCAAATGATGCCAAGACAAAAGAGTAAACAATGATGTAGAAATTATTATCAAAATAAAAAGGTAATAGGAAATAAGATAAAAAAGAAGCTCAACCGTTTCTTCTTTTAAACTTGGCAGGTATTAAACAAAACATGAACGCAAACATGTCGGACTTGAAATTACATGGGCTGAGTTAAGAACCATGCAGTAATAATCCAATCCCAATAAAATAATCAAAATAATAAATAACACGTATATTTAAAATAAATTTTAAATTTTTAAAAATAAAACTAAACATCAAAGCACATGATTTGTACTGAATATAAATTTCAGATAGCATCACTTTTTTAATTTTTAAAATCTCATTGATGATATTTGATAACCAAACCTTGTCGTTGCATTGATTGCTTAGATAAAATATGAGAAATGTTCATACAAATATGATGCATCTAAGCAATTGTATGCCCCTCAATCTCAAAATCCATTATATCTTCTCTAGGCCTCAAACTCATGCATCTTGTTTTAAGCTAGTTTGAATTTATTTTTTTGGTTAAAGCTAGAATACACCTCATCATTTTACTTCTTATGCATCATTTCTTGAGTTTTCATCTTTTACTAAATTCAACTCTTTGCTTCTAATACATCAAACTCCTTTTATAGCTCCAACTTTGCTCGTTACACTCTTTGTAAAAATTTTCTAATTACTTTAGAGTATCAATAACATGTAAGATTGCCCCTTTTTTAAAAGGGCTTTTCTTATTCCACATCAATTTTGGCTGAACTAACAATATTTAGTTTACCTCTCTCAGCAACTTATCTTGAATGATTAATAATTTCCCACCTTACCAACTTATCCTTAAAAGTTTATTTTTGTTGTTGTTATAAACCATCTCCAAGAAGGACTTTGCAATCTTTGTGAAGAAGATTAATATTCTTTGTAAGAAAAAAGTTAATTTGTAATATGCTAGCTACACTTTTGTAAGTAATTAGGCATAACTTATCATTTATTAAAATATTTTTGCCATTATATGACCATAAGCCATCGTAAAATCAAATAGAGCTTCTCTCATTGCATTTTTATCCAATGGTTCACACCTATCGTGAATTCTCTCATGACTAATTCTATTAAAACACACATTAGAAAGAAAAGCTCCCAAACGCCATTTCAAAACCTACATGGCTTGAATTTATGTGATTAGGAAATTAGTTGGCTTGCCATTTCTAGACTACAAGTAAAATTGAATAGTCAAGGAACTTGACCCTTCAAGGTTATAGCATACAAGTCCTTCTATAAGCATTTTCAGGTGGTAGGCAAAAGAATTACGCGTTCTCGTCCCAAATTCAAATCTAATTTTAGTTTTATACATGATTCAACCCTTCCTTACATTTAACCACAATCAAATTATATTATAGTGTGTTTCTTAAAGATGATGTCCTAGTTAACTCCTGCCAAGTTTTCATTACAATCAAATTAAATTGAGGTGCGTTATTGCTTAAGGATCGCATCCTAGCAAAATCTCACTTTCACCAAAATTGAGTTAGATGACACCTCGGTTCCGAGGAATGACCTTTGTATTCATTTCATTAGCTTCAGCATAAGTTTATGATTCACTACATTTTGACCATAAAATCAACTATCAAAATACCATAAATTCTATAAAGGTCAAAAAATCGTATGACTATACACCGAACACTATAAGATTAAAATCATGACCAAATTAACATGCTAAAGATTCCACAAACAGTTGAATAAAGAAAGCATAATTAGAAAAAAAATAAATTAAAAATGACGTATTCAAATGAACAATGTGGAAGAATGATCCCTCTAAAACCCAAAATAAAAATAAAATGTTAAAGACAAGGGGCATGATTGGGACAATAATTGGTTCTATAATCCCCAAAAGAAATATTAACATAAAACTCAAACATAGGGCTTTAAATAAGGTAAATTTTTAGATATTCATGGGAAGCAGATGCCTTCTACAAATTTTCATTTCTATTTGTACATTTAGAGTTCTCATATAAAACAGGCTTGATTGACTCACTATAACCTGTAACATTAAATGTTTGAGCTAGAAATAAATTCAACCTTGTGCGCGCGTAATGATATGTACATCAATCCATCCTATGCTTCATAATGGTGAGAACATCATTTATTGGGTATGCCCTTTTATATTTACTTGTTTTTAAAAAATTCTGAAAGATGGGAAGTTATCGTGTAGTTTATCAAAAAAAGAGCAGGGACATAGTCTAGTTATCGCAAAAGAATGCAGTGAATTAATTTCTAAGACCCATGACCTGATAATCACAAAATCCGCACAAAGTTCCATATCTAATAAAGTCTATGTGTGTTTCAATTGTCAAAACTAGTTGATAAAATTTATATCCTTTGCCCAGTAGAATTCACAGTAAACTTAATATAATATGAAATTTCTTCATCACTCAACCTCTTTTGAAGATCTTGTCAGCCTTGACTCCGTACATTTTTAGAAAATTTCCTTGCTTATAGACTCCAAGGCACGATTCTATGATCCGAACGCTAACTTATTTTTCTCTTTGTATCTTATAACAAACTTCTGACTTCACCAGCTCGAGTTATTACTATGCCCTTATTCTATTATATATACTTAAGGCCTTCACGCTTATTTCTGCATCTTTTACACGACGTGAGCATTAAAAAAGCTAAATATGAAGATCCATACACTATTAACAGGTGCATTAACATAAAATCACTGAATTTAAACCAAAATAAACTCATCTCATAAAACTAAAATAAATATGCATAAGATGTGAATCCAGACAAGAATGAGGTAATTGCAGACATGGAAAATAAATTTGAAGTATACAAAGGACTAGTATAAGCCTAATAAAATCCACAATATAACTTGGTAATTGTTAAGATGGCAAGAACTCCTCCCTTTTGTATTCAACAGAATTCAATTCCAAGATTCTAATCCACAATATATTAAACACAATTAAGCCTTCAATTAAATCACCACAAAAAACAGTAATTATGCATGCCCTAAATCAAAGGCGGGTAGATGAATCCCTAAAAGAGAAGGTTAAAAGAACTCACGTGATTGAGAAGGGGCATGAATTCAAAATAGACGTTCACATTCTTAATCCCCAACTCAACAACTGCATTGAGCCCTTCTATTAGAGCCTTCGCATCAAGCACTTCTCGATTGGTCTCCTCCGCATGCACTGGCTTCTGGATCTTGAGCAATAACTCACCACTCGGATCACATACGGCGACAGCAATCCCAGCGAAGCTCACCGACGTACCAGTCACGCGCTCCGCCCTCGCCAAACCCTTGAAGTAGAGTCGAAAGGGCAGCTCCTCTTGGGTACTGATGAGCTCAATCGGTCGCTCGAAGCAGTCGCCACATTCATCCCAATCATCGTCTGACATATCCTGGATCTCGCGCGCGAATTGCTCGTCATGTACGCGATAGCGAAGGTCCTCAGCCACGCGACACCTTTCGGTGCGGCAAAGCTCGGCGTCGCGTCGTTCCAGTTGGTAATGGTCGAGCTCGAGGGATTGGAGGTCGAGGGCGTGGGAAAGGTCGGCTTTGATGGAAGAAGCGGAGGAAGACGAGGGGCCGGCGACGTCTGGAAAAGAAGAAGAACAGGAAGGGGGAAGGGAGGCGACGAAGGAAGCAGCAAGGGCTTCTTCCATTTGTAGATGGAAGGCGAGGTCAAGGTCGGCCTCGGCGGCGCTCGCAGCCATTAGCTCCCGGTGCTGGTTCGCGACGAGGAGATCAAATTCGGCGATCACGTCCATGAGCAAGAGAGAGTTCGAACCCCAAACTTGAAACCGCAGTGTCGTCGTATGCGAGGCAGTTTTTGTTTTTTTTTTTTTCTATTCACATGCGCGGCAGATAAGCAACTTACGCTATGTTATTTTTGGATAAATGATTATTATGCGCCTATTTTAGCTAATTTTTTAGCTATTTTGTTCGTTTGGAAAAAAACTGATTTATAATTTTTTTCTGAATAAATGAATATTTTGGATTATCTTTTATAACATCCAATAAATTTCATAACAAAGATTCTTCACCTAACAAAAAAGCAAGAAATTTAAATCTAATCCTGATTGAGAAAGACTTGTGACTGGATCTCCCTTCATGGATTATCTTTTATATATCTCTCCTACTAACAACCCACTCTATTGCTTAAGTGCTCAGTTAATCGGTCTCCAAGATTTATAAATCACACACTACACCAATTTGATATTAGATGCATCCATATTACACTAATTTGGGATCATTGGAAATTCCAATATTGCATCAACTATGGCACGATTCTGAAATCCATCCAAGTCATCGTAAATATTAAAAACAATTTTGCCTTCTCATACACCAGCAATTTGGAGTTTGATTATCGGAAAAAAAAAATCCCTGATGCCTCTCCAATCCAAACGTTGTTAAAATAATGCGCACGAAAAACCTATAACAAGGGAAAGAAATAGAAAAATAAAGTAAGAGAAAAAAAAATCTTCGACGATGAGTGGTGGATCAGAACACCCCTTTTTTTATGGATTACAAGCCATTATGATCAGATTATGCTAGTATTCGCTAAAGGCCGCTGAGAGAGAATTTAGTAACAAATGAGACTCCACCATCTCTTCTTGCACCTCTCCTTGATCCTATGGTCGCCAAAAGCTACAGTGGCTGACAATCGAGGTTGGCGTCGACGGAGATTGTCACGTCTAGATATAGGAAACGTGAGTGCAATAGAGCGACATAACCTTGGACATGGTGTTGTGTGTCATCCGACGCCCGAATTTCTCGTAGATCAGGCCACCTCGCAACACCCTTCCTCGTTAGCTCGAGAAATTGCCGCTCAATTTTTTGGATTCTTCCTAAGCCGTCCGCCACTCGAGCCCTCATGATCCCGAGATTTTCCTCCGTTCGCCACACGAGAGAGAAAGGCACGGGAGATATTTTTGATAAAGCGCAGCTCTTGGAAGCGGGACGCGGGGTCGATCCCGCGGCCCGCTTCCTTCAATAAAAGTTAAACGCCGTTCTCAAATTGCTAGCAGAACGTTTAAACCAAATGTCATTTCGGTGTTTTCAAAACGTCAAATTTAGTAATAAACTGCCCCAAACGCACCATAAGGCTTTGTATGGGCCTCATTTCTCACCCGGCGCGGCCCCAAGCCACCCTTTCTATTTTTTACATTTGGTTGTCGCATTTTTGCGCGCGCACAAAAATTTCTGCAGAAGGCGGGCTGCGAATCTGACCCCGTGGCTCGTCTCTCTGCTCCTTTTTTTCTACTACCCTTCCTATCTCGTCCCTCGCGCTCGAGCCCTCTTTCGCGACTCTTCTCTTTTTTCCTACCCGAATGACAGCGACATCTGGGGATAGAGCTCCTCCTTTTGAATCGGTCGGTGGTCTCCGCAGGGATTAAGTGCAGATTGGTTGCTACAGATAGTCGAGTCTTGATTGGAACCGGATGTTGGTCGAAAGAGAACGCAATTCACAACATTATGGAGAACAAGACTCACCATTTAGGAATTCTACGCCGCTCTCCCACAGGGAATCAAGAAAGAGAGGGGGGATTAGAGCTTGAAGGATGGCCTCTCATATTTCGTTTCTATAAGGGACCGCAAGGAAGAAACAAGGAGGATGAGGGATCTCCTGTCCACCCACTAGAACTGTGTTGTTCTATGGTCAGGATCTACAGTGATGCTTGTCCTTGGATTTAACATATAATTTTTTTCTCTGGTTTGTTAGCTGTTGGATTTACTAGCCCTGTTGTCTTTAATGGGAAGAAACAAAAAAAAAATGTTTGTTCTAACCATCTTATTTCCATTTTTTTTAAGGGATAATTACATACACAACATCTCAAACATATGCTTTTATATTGAACCTCATTGTTTAGAGGTTTTCTTAAACCTTTGTTCGACTTGGTTAGTATATATAAGAATCATGAAATTGTGATATTTTTACTATGACATTAACGATATCAATGTTATGTGTGTAAATATAAGTCTAGGTACTACATATGTGCATATATAAGAATTATGTGGTATGTATGTGAATGCCTTGAGAATCGTTTAAGACTATCTAGTAGGGGCAGAATGGTCAATTGTCTAGAAACAGCTGCTGCACAACTATTTTCAAACTGTAAAAAACAAACAGTTATCGAGCTTATCTGCGGCAACTTCCGTGCAATAGCTTCCCAGGGTAGTTGTTGTGCAACAACTTATTAATAAGCAGCAGCTGCCCCAAACAGACCCTAAATCCCAGGTAATTTATTTAGGATGAAATCATTCAGAATTTAATAAAAATAAAAAATATGGGTTGGGTTTTATCTGAATTTTGATATTTGATAGAATTTAAAAATTAGATGAAAATTATATTAGATTTGTACATGATAATGTTTTCAGTGTTATCAAAGGATTACTTCTTAAAAATAGTTAATTTTGAATTCTTCATGTTTAACTTACAATATATCATATGTGGTAAATATAAATATAGTGTATGGAAGTTGTTTTCTTTCTTTGTTGAGAAACTATTACAATTAATCTATAAATTTGTTTTTCAATAAAATTTTTATAAAATATACATCAAAAACATGTTCTCATTAATCTCGAGGAACTTCAATGTGTCTGACTGACAAATAACAAAGGATTGTATCAAGATAGTGAAAATGTGGAAATATCAAGTATTATTTCATTCGAGTGGAACTTTGAGCCGACAAAACAAAAACACGACCCAACGAAAAGATAAAAGGAGCCTAATCCTTGGGACGATGGTTCATGATCAGATCCCATAGCCAATTCTTGAACTCCTCATAAAATGGTTAAAACCCCCGCCACATCTCCTTTAAAACCTCTATGGCCCTTTAAGAAGGCTCCTTATCCAAGGAGAGTTGCTCATCAGATTCTAGTAGTACACTTTCTGCCTAACGACTGAGTTTTTCCTAATGATAGCAGTGCCTCTTCTCATAATTCTCCCTTGAAAGGCCAACCGACTAACTTTTGGTTGGTCAAACTTTCTTAGACCGACTAAAGCCTCCATCCCACCAAATGATAAGGTTGTCAAGTCATCAAATGCCCATATTCAAGTAATTATGAATACAAAAAGGTGCTAAAGTCTGTTACAAAACAAAAAGGTGTCAAAGACTGTTACGAATACGAAAATGTGTCATAATACCTAGTAACGCATCTATTAAAACAAAGAAAAACATGTAATTTGACATTAGCAACCCCCAAAATCTATAAATATGAGGTATTTCTACAATAAAAGACTTTTGATTGACTCTATTAAAACGTTTGTGTTATTGGATGTTAAAGTTGATTACAAATACAAAATGTTTTCAAAGTCTGTTATGAATACGAAAAGGTGTCATAATACCTTGTAGCTCTATTAAAATAGAGAAACATGTAATTTACATTAGGAACCCCCAAAATCTGTAAATAGGAGGTCATTTCTATAATAAATAACTTTTGATTGACTCTATCAAAACTCTTGTGTTGATGTGCACTCTCTCTTTCTCTCTCGCTTTCTCCTTTCTCTCTATTTCATTCGTTCATCCTACGCTTTATACTTGGGTGTGATTTATAAAACATGTTCTGATTCAAAATCCTAAAAAGTGTAATGAGTGTAGATTATGCTATCAATAAAAAAAAGATCACACAACGGAGAAACAACTCATCAGGGAGATTGACTCGACCCGTATTTACGTAGATATTTATGTTCATTAATATGCTAAAAACTTGGCCCAAATTATACTTACTGGTTAGTGAGAATAATTGTAATATGATAAAATTTAAAGAAATAGTTGTCTCACTAGGGATACTACGCAAGTATATGTATCATTTTATGTAATATATAATTTTCTATAAAAACCTTAGTATCGATCTCACAAGGAACTGTAAATGAAAAGAAATGAAATTCATGAATTTTAACTTTAAGAGAACTTTACTTAAAACTGCAGCAAATATCTAGAGAAGTAATGATGAAATTAAGTTTACTAATCTCTATAAATGCAATTAAAACTAAATGTAATGATTTTATAAAATATATAAAAAGAGATTTTTTCTTGCAAATAATTCATAATCAGTGTAGGATTTCAAATGTTTAGAAGTTTAAATGTGGTATTGTGACAAATAGGAGCATACCTATTATAAACTTCTTTTGATATGTAGAGAGCATTAACTAATCTAAAGTTGATGTCGACATGTATAATTGTGTTGGGTAGGTTATAGTCTCTCACTCCTAGATTACCTACTGTGCCCTCTCTATAGGACCTACCATTGACTCTTAGTTCCAAACTCTAGACCAAATTGATAAAAGAATCTAGTCTGTCACTCTAGAAACATCAATTCTACGCACAAAAAATCTTATCCCTTATCTATTTGCACTCCTCCTCAGACAATCGCCATTGTTCTTTCCAAAGTGAAATTTAATTCTTACAAATCAAGAAATCTTAGCCCTCTCGGGTCTATAAGTTTCCTCAAAAATTTTAATAATACAAGTGGTCAATTTGTAAAGTAAGTGAAGGACTGGTAAAAGTATCATCATAATTTTTAGAAATAAAAGAGGTTCTAAACAAAATAAAAAATCACTTACTTGATTACTTCATATTACAAGGAAAAGTAGAGAAAACTACTCAAAATGCATGGAGATAACAAAACAAAATATATTTATAAAACTCATCCAAAGTACAAGACTTAATGACAAAGATACAAATAGTTATCTGGAATGTTTCCTCAAGCACTTCTTTGAAGTTCTCCGACTTCTCTGACTCCAACAACACTTACAGGACTCATAGACTTCAGAAATGACAAAGACTCACAAAGAAAACTACCCAAACTCTTAACACACACACACACACACACAC